AAAACCTGACGTGCCCGAAAACACTGTTCAATTGATCTAATGCACCTTGCTGTAACGTTTCTTTGTTTAGCTGTCGGAGGCGGCGGGCGGGCGCGCGGCGGGCGAGCGGCGCTGGTCGTCGCGCTCCGACTACTCGGTGGCCGGCAGCGCCCTCGAGATGCACTCCATGGACGCCGGCCACATCTAAGCGCCCGACCGCCCCCAGCGCCAAGTGAAAACAAGAAGCCCTTCTCTACGGCTGCTATCCAAAGCTTGGATCCAAGGGTAGATAGCGTGCTCAACTGACGTCGCCGGATGAATCCTTTTGTAGAGATTCAATTCAATTCAATTCAATGATGCCTTATTTTACGTGACGACACTCTGGCCATCAGGCCTTCTCTTCCGTCTGAACACGCAAATTTCCTTTCTTTCACCAGAAAGAAATCGGGTGGCATCAATCGGGAGATGAAACACGCGATTTAAATTTAGCTCAGAGGCATCTTTTAAGTTTCAGGATAGTGCACATGCACTAAATCTACAACATGGGACAGTTAGCTTTACTTCCCTCAGAAGGAAGGCGTACAAAGGATGTTTTTGCCTTTCGATCGTGTTTGAACTCGCTAACTTGGGCTAAACAGCCCGATATGCTAAGTGTTATGCCACCGAAGCTCCGGAATCAGTTTACTTATGTGCAATACGGATCATATTTGAATGGAGTGCCCAATGTGCGCTGTATGGAATGACGAATTAGTTTCTTTCATTTTACTCGAATGTTTGTTCTGAAGTTCTCTGCTGCAAGTAACAGGACTTGTCATTCTCACTTCTTTCTCTTTTATTCTAAGACTGTTCTCTTCACTCCAACATGTCACATCCACCTTCTACATTTCCATCTATCGACTTATTCCTTCTTCCTGTCCTGGACACTCACTTCACTTTGCCTTTCTTGACTTCTTTAAACAATCTCGCCTTTGCAGAAGCCCAATCCGACGTACCTTACGACTTCTTACCGCCGATATAAATTCGTTTCCATCTTTCTTGACTAGTGTTATTTTCTCACTCTACCCGTCAAAAAGTGCTAGACCCTTCACTTTCGGTACCGATTATGAATACCCCCACCATCTTCAGAGATGGCTGAAGGGTCATTGGACATCTTAGGAAACGCTTTAAATTCTTTACAAAGGTTTGGAATAGGTGAATTTTATTACATACTGGGGAATAATAATAAAGTGGACCCTATAGATCCAGTGCTTATAATGTGCTGTACGACGTATTTCTATGGACACAAACTCCCACATTACTAATTTTTATTTTATTTAACGTATAAGAGCAGAGATAAAACATCCAAATCTTTTTCCACATTTTCTCAAACAATTCTCTTTTAAAATTACGATGGTTTAAAATACGCGACTTTCTTCCTCATTTATAGTTGTATATGAGTTTGGGTTTCCAGAATACCCCATTTTTCAAAATAAAAATATAACAAATAACAAGGGAAGACTGGGTTCAATCAGTTCTGTTAATTTTACTAAATGCAAAAGGATAGGGAAGAAATAAGGTTTCTTGTCAGTTGTTGGGGACCAGGAAGGTCCTATGCCTACATTGTTAAATTAAAGGAACATTTACTGTAGTTTCTTGGCTATATTTTAAATTTATCAGAGGATTTCAAAAATAATTTTTATTGTATATATGAATTTTTGAAAGTGAAGAATATTTACAACCATGTTTTATTATTACAATAAACATAAATTGTTTAAATAACAAGATATAATAAAAATGCTATGATGTAAGTAGTATTTTGACTTGGTAAAGAGTGCCTAAAAGTTTGAATTCAGTAGCTCTTATAGATTAGGAAATAATGTTTCTTGAATTCCAAAATGCAAACTTACGGGAATAAGGCTTCAAAGTTTGGCATCTATTTCCAGTACATTTTAAGTCCATATGATGCATTTTCCAGAATCATTCGACATCTACTCTTTTAGTTTCCTTTTATCTGATGTCACAGTGTGTCTGACTTATTTCTCCGTTTCATACTTCTAGTTTCCGTCCCTAGTTGCCTTGTTTCTCTCATTGTAAAGTAGAAAACTGAGATAATTTCACATAGGCATCCATGCATAGCAAGGTTAACGCCCAGCATATTATTTAATTTTAAAGCATTACTTCAAAACATCGTAATGTAATAACAAATACATTATTGAAAAAGGGAAATATTGATGATTTATAATTCACTAAAAAATGAAAATCTTATTTTTTTAATTTTTCGCCTTCCGGGTTCCCTTAACCAAGTATATCATACACAACAGTGAATATCTTTCACAGCCTCAGATCGTGTACCTTCCCGACGGATGTGTACACTACCAACCAGAAACATGTATAAATCTTGTTCCTCACTTACTTTTCAATTTGCTCATTAAGAATTTTCTACGAACTGAAATGGTTTTCAATTCCTCTGCAAAACTCCTAGTTTATATTTCTAAAGAAGCTTGTCGAACATTGATCTTTTCGGTTTTTTATATAAAATCACTATCTTTGAAAGAATGTTCTGATTTCTGAGTTAATTTAAATTATACATATGAAACACATTTTACCAAGTTTGAAGAAATCTCAGTAGGCCTTCATGAACTATTCTTAAATTTGGTAAAATTATCTCCAAGCTTACTTAAGGTTATGATAATTAGTGTGGATATACTATATGCATTTAATGTCGAAGTACCTCCGTCAAAGATGGAAAGCTAGTATTCCAATTTTCAGTCACCACTGATTCATTCAAAGACGTCACTTGATGCACGCTACCACAAGGCTAATGAAAATACACTTTCTGCGGATGTTATTTGCATATGTGACTGTGAATAAAGTGATTTGAAATACGCAGTAGGTAAAGAAATTTATGTACAATAAATAATCGTTTTGGAACCTAATAAAAACAAATTCCCAAATAAATACATTTTAGACAAATATAAGTGAAAGAGTGAAATTGTTTATTTTGGGATTAAAATAAATTGACGTCTTAAAACCCTTTACATGTACTTTCGAGTGGCGAGGAGTTCTTTCTCTGTGACTTATTGATGTTTTATTTGCGTTCAAGAAAATGCGGAAATGAAATGTCAAAGTGTTATTCTCTGACAAATTGTGTTTAGATTTATTTTGCAGTGAGATCAAAATATAAAAGTGTTGCTGATCAGACTTGTATTGTATTGTTCAAGAATATAATTTTCGTTTCTGCTTAACTCAGAATATGATATTAATAACCGTTTTGAGTGATTCGCAAAACACCCAAATATTCATGTTATTAACTAAAGAACATTCCCATTTTTCATATCATGTTTTTAATTATTATTAATTATTTATCCTTATTCTAAAAGTTACTGTACAGATAACACATCTTAAACCACCACCACATGATATTGGTTTTAAACTTTGAACTGATAATAGTTTATAATAAAGATGACTTCTAAGAAGTGTTTTAAAACAGTGAGCGCGCATCATTCGCTGGCGATATCACAAACTAGTGGGTAGCGCAAATGCCCACTACGTAAGCAAGGTATAGGTTCCGCAAATAAAATTAAAAAACCCGAAAGAAACGTTGTTAACACTATCATATTCATTACATTTCCTGATTACCTGGAATCTGTCAAACAAGTTTCTTAAGTCAAACTAGAAATAAATTTCGTGTGTCACTTAACGTACAAGTTAAAAGATTGTTGAAATATCCGCAATGTAACATGACATTTGGTGTGAAAAACTTTCCCGTGTACTGATAATGCCAAATTTCGTGTACGATGGATTACATTTAGAAATTGTCGTGTGTCAATGTCCTATTATTGTGTACTACATGACAGACAACATAACCGCACGTGTCTACATTGTAAAAATGTTTGATGTACCATTTGTAAATATATGTAATAAAAATAAAATATTACGCACAATTTTCGATATTTTTTCTACTATCCACTGAATCTACATAATTTGTAGTTGACCATATGCACAAGAGACACTAGTTCACAAGAAATATTCATGTCTTAAAAATCATTTTTAGATAAATAAAGGAATATATTTACATAATAGTCTGACTAAAATTCATAAAGATAGTTCACAAGTCAGTTAATAAGTAGAGTTAAACACTTAGTTTCTTACCGAGAAATATATCTGCCATTAATATAATCGTACTCAGTCAAAATTATATTTCTTGATGAGTCATTGTTCTTGTCGTCGACGATGGGCAGTAGAGGCGATTAACAAAATTATTATAAGAAGTGTGCTCAATACGTATACAAACTATACAAATTTTCAATTGTAATAATTCTCAGTTATACTTTACATATTTTTAATAGATTTATTTAACTCAATGTATCCTGATAAACAAGACAGTTTATTTCTTCTTGATACTCCTTCTATTTCCCATTAAATTATATCCAGAGTGTTTGGTGACATGTACTGTTAACAATTCTGAACTTGTGGTGCTAAAACAGCACGTACTTTTCTGCCTTATTTTCATTGAAAATGTTCATCAAAAAATGCGCGGAAAGTTCTCAAATTTTCGAAAAATTATACATGATTATTTCAAAATTTATCTTCAAGAAAAATATTTCATAGGAAAATCCCTATCTTAAATGTTTAGTTAGAGAAAGGCTCCGATTAAATTTTGAACATTTGCAATTTTCGAAAAATATTATTAAAGAAAATGAGACCTGCATCATTCTTTTAAATGCCCTTCCCACTAACCAAGAACAAAATTTAATCAAAAACGATCGTCAATCTTTTTGAAACTTTTGAAAATATCTCAGGGACTTTATTCACGTAATGTACCCCCCCACAAAAAAATATCGGTTTTAAATTCAAAAGCCGCGACTTCAGCCAGGACGATTGGGAAAATTTCGATTTTCTACTGAATGATTTAGCCGCTAGTTTTGTTAGCAGATTTGCTATCAATTGATTTTTCAGTATCAAGTACCCATAAAACATAAATTCTGAATGCACCACGTGTTAGAGGATTTTGTTTCTAAATTTAGTATTTGGATTTATCCACTTTTTCGTTACCAGGGACCTGTAACACGCATTTTTCTTCTGAAAATTCGCTGGTTTTTGCCATTACATAATTTTCTCTCTACTCCGTAACGAGGAAGTTAAAAAGAAGAATTCGCCCTTCAGAATGCGAGAGAATCTTTATTCGGAAGAGGTCGTACAGGAGAGTCGCAAACGACCTTCAGAAGGAAACCACGGGCTTGTACTCCTACGTCTCCTCGCTAATGGCAAGGGGTGACGTCACAAACAGGTTCTACCGCGGTGTACAAAATGTTACGGCAGGGAAATCCTCTTCAAAAGCGTACCTTTGTTATTGGAATTTCTAAAGTCAGACATTGAATTGCTAAATTTTAACAGTACTTACCTCAAACTTTTCGGTTTTTGAGGAGAGAGAGAAAACTCAGCACCTGGTATTACCTACGAAAATTCATTGAAATATAGAGTGACCACCGAGAAATGCGTCTTGAAAAACACTTTAAACTCAGTATTATGAAGATAAGTCAGAGAGGTAATATCTGTAGCTCCAAACGAGGCGAGACCTGCGCAGAAATCTACATCAGGCACGAGAGTTAACTTTAGAAAACATGAGTAGTGTCCTACTTACAAGAATTCAAGCACTTCGAATTGCTTCAAAATGTTCCTATATAATGTTTAAAACATAAAAAGCACGATGTAAAACTGTGAGCTGAGACATTATGTCGGAGAGATAGAAAAAAAACATGTTAAACGACTTTCTGTGAGAATTATTATTGCGCAGAAAAGACGCAGAAATTGCATCAAAACAAAGCCCATTTCAACTCCAATCTTGGTTACATTTCATTTTTAAACAAGTGTTTATTGAAAACAAGTGTTTGAATACAATATTACTAAATGAATTTTATCTTAATTTTAAATGGTTGTACCACTGACAGATCACTGACTGGTGATGAATTTCAACACTACACCGTGGAATGAGAGAATCTACTGGTAAATTCTTTTTTCTTAAATTTATTTTTATCTGTTCGACCCGGTGGCCCTACATAGTTGGGAATACATGTACTACATAATTCTTGGATCTTGGAAAATTTCTTGGATTCTTGGAAAATTTTGTAAGTTGATTGTCTTTCTCAGGTGTTAAAATCATAACACCAACAAAACAATGTTTCAAGGTGAGGTGAGAAATGGAAGATTATTTGTGCATGAAATTGTTAAGGCTTGGAGGAGGTGTTAAAGATGGGTATTGTGAAATGACATGTGGGGAGATTTGAATCAAAGGGGTCTTAAAATATCTTTGGAAAAACGTGATTTTATTCTGTTAGGAGTATTGGCTTGTTGGTCAAGATGAAAAAAGGAAGCGCTGGGACAGGATGGAAGAAGTGAATGGAATTTAGAGGATAAGATTATTAAATAGTGAGGGATATAAGGCATTTGCAGTTCTCGATGAATTTGGCTTTTAGGAATAAACCAGGGTGCATTAAGAAGTCTGTGAAGGCATTTATTTTAAAAAACATCGATTGCGCGAGTACTGCTTGGTGCAGTGTTTAACCAGGCACGGCATTCGTGTGTTAGCGTTGGTCTTATGACACTTTTATATAGTAGTAGTTTGGTTTCAAGTTTTAATGAACATGGATTTATCAGTGGATACAGTTTCGAAGTTTTTGCAGTTGCTTTTTGTATGTTGTATTTAATGCGATCTTTCCAAGTTAGTCGTCTATCTATTAGTATTCCTAGGTATATTGGAGAGGTGGAGTTGTTTTGTCAGGATAGTTGAGTGTTATTAATAGTTAATGGAGGTGGATTTTTTGGTTTTCTAAGAGTAAACATTTTTGTTTTTGGTGGATTGATTTTTAATCACCATTTGTGAAACCAGATATAAAGAATATGAAGAAATGATTAAATGGGGTCATATGCTTCGAGTATGTCCTCATGGGATGAATATATTACTGTATCGTCTGCAAATTGGGTTATGTTGGAATCAAGCATAGTAGGATGATCTGAGGTGTTCATATGGAATAATGTGGGAGAAAAAACTGTGCCCTGAGGAACGCCGGCAAATATGTTATGAGTTTTTGAAAGGTTGCGGTTAAAGATTGAATAACTTCCCATACTGACTTGTAGATAGAACAAGAGATTGTATGTGGGGCACAAGAGATGTGCGAACTTGCGTTACCACATGGGTTATAATAGTACTGATAAAGGTTTCAATATTGTTAATACTATTGTTATTACTATTGATTATATTGCTGTTTCTGCACCATTGGTTTGATGTATGATTTACAGTAGTAAAGTTGGGAGGGTTGGACCTACGTGATATTGATGGAAAGTATTTATCATTATTTAGTTGGAAGTTATTATTACTTGTGGGAGGTGAGTAAGTGGGGGGATGATGACAATGGGAGAGGATCTGGGACTGAAGTGTGTTATTAGAATTATGTATATTGCGGGAGGAAGTTGTGATGTCGTTAGCAAATATGGAGCATCCTTTATAATTAGCTGTGTGGTGTTGTAGGCAGTTAACACAGATGGGCAATTTTCCTTGTTTTGGAAGTTTGCATTGAGAGTAGTGGCGTTTTCCTGTACATCTCACACATCTTGGGCTCAGCCCACAGTTAGCTTGAGTATGACCATAAGTTTGACACTTTTTACATTGTATAGGACCCATGGTATTATTTCTAATATGTACACTGATTTTACAATAGTACTAATCTTTGAGGTTTAAAATTGTTATATTTATTCCATTGTCTATAAAGTCTATTGTTATTATGGACACATTGTCTTTTCTATACAATCTTGAGCACTTTTTGACTGGGTAGTTTTTGGAGATCAGTTCATCAGAAGTGTCTTTTTCTGACATTAATAATGTCTTTAATACAGACGCAGATAGCATTTTAATAGTGGTATCTCTATACGTGTGATACTGAATGTTTTCTCTTTTGCAAACAGTCTAGAGTTGCGGTAATCACTAATATTTTGGAACATAACTTTAATGTTGTTGTTTTCATTTTTGGTGTTAAAAGTACCTTAGGTCACACTTTTAATGTCATTGATTAGTCGACTGTTATTTTCGGTTTTATAAACTGTTGTAGGTGGTATCTCAGTGTTTGGTTGTTGATTTACGCTACTGTTGGGTTTTAACTAATTGTTTGTTTTTGTAGTTAGTATCTTGTATCGATTCCCAGTTGGCACGTGATAATATGAGGTATCACAATAACTGTAGTGTCTTTTGCGTTTTCTGGGATCATGGGCGTTCTTGGAGGATAGGCACTAGTAATTTCATTATTTCTTCAATTTTCATTCGGTTTCTCGTCGTTGTAAGTATCTGGAGGTTCTGGTTGAGTGCCAAGTTGTTGTATTTGAATTTGCGGTGGAGACATTGCTGCATTTGTAGATTGTTGCAGTTGCTGATGTCGCAGTGAGAGTTGTTGATGTTTTCGGTACTGAAGATATGGCTGTTGCTGATGATGTGGTTGTTGCTAGATAAAGTTGTGATAGTCGATGTTAGTGCCATTGAAATTTAATGTGTCTAGTCGCACTGCATATTAGCGCACTAGCTGTAGAGTTTTTGTCATCCAATTCACACTCCTCCATTGTGGAGAACAGACACTGGTTTTGAATTAAACTCATTTTTCAATAAATAATAACGCAGTAGTTATTTAGCAAAATGTTTTGACGCAATGAACCGTATTGCGGCAGATTCGGCCGTGAGTCGTACTCGGCTTTATGTGCGGTTTAGATTCACATGCGGCGCCGCAATAAGAGGAGCGAAGTGCCGCCACCGCTGCTCAAAGGGAACTGCCTACAAAATTCTGTGTACTTTCGTCCAATTTACTGATTGATCTTGCCAAACTCTCAGCATTTCCGTCGTCAGCTCACTCCGGTACGACGCATGTATAAGATATATTGATGAAGTGAGTAAAGAGTAT